CTCAACACATTTACCTTCAAAATGACTTCAGGGAATTTTGATCAGTGAAACGTTGTTTGAGCAGCGGAGCGGCAAAATGTGAGGGTTTTTTTGGCCGTTTTTGACAACATTAATTTTTTCCCGTTTGCACAAACAAAGTCTGATTTGCATTAAACTTGAATCCATTGTTCAACTCCAGGGTTTAGGTCAGGTGAAAGTGAAATATTTGAAATTGGCCCATTAGCGCCCCCTAAAGACTGAGTCAAAGTTTACATGGGGAGCCAAACCAGCTCTACTTATCATATTCATTACAATTTGACTAACAATCTTCTATGGCTACGGGAACAAATCATCACACGGCGGCGCCACCTCCTTTGAGCGGTGCTGCGTGGTACGGTGTGGTGCGGCGTAGTGCGGGGCGTTGTGGAGCGGCGCGTTGCGGCTTGGTGCGGGGCGGCGTGGTGCGGGACGGCGGGACGGCGTGGTGCGGGACGGCGTGGTGCGGGGTGGCTTGGCACGGGGTGGTGCGCGCGGTGCGGGGAGTGCGCGCGGTGCAGGGAGTCGCGCGGTGCGGCGAGGGCCGTTCGACGCCGCTTGCGGCTTTAATTAGGCCCGAGCCCCGAACGGGGTAAGGGCCTATTGCTTTCACAATGGTGAAAACAAATGGTGGCGGTGCGTGACGGACGCGTCAGCGCCCGTCACTCACCAAAACATGACAGTTGCGTGCGTAAACTCAAAAGCTTTAAAATGATGAATCACATGCCATTGAAACCTATATTGTTTTTGCTCGAGACAAGTCACAAAAAATTCCTTTTTTATTTATTTATTTATTTATTTCTTTCTTTCTTTCTTTCTTTTTTCTTCTGCACTTTGAGCCTTAATTTGACCCCCTGAATATGCATGAAAAGTTGTTAATTTTGGCCCAAAAATCAGACCTGGCGAAAAATTTCATATTTTGGTGTTTATTTTTATGGGACTCAAAAAATGACAGAACAGCGCCACCTACAACAGCCAAAATAATACCCCTATGGGACTTTTCGGAGGTCAAGTTTGTCATAGAAACATGAGATTTGGTACACATGTTCTCTCAAGTCAAGACAAGAAAAAAATATTATTATGGCCCCGCCCTCTGACAAACAGGAAGCCCATAAATTTCACTGCAAAATGGAAAAATGAACAGCAAAAGTTTTCATACATGTCGGTTGGAAAGCGACTCCTCCTCGGCCGTTTCACCGATTCGCTTCAAAATTGCTCCACATCATCTCAACACATGTACCTTCAAAATGACCTCAGGGATTTTTGATCAGTGAAACATTGTTCGAGCAGCGGAGCGGCAAAATGTGACATTTTTTTGGCCGTTTTTGACAACATTAAATTTGCTCCCGTTTGCACAAACAAAGTCTGATTTGCACAAAACTTTAATACATTGTTCAACTCTAGGGTCTAGGTCGTTTGAAGGTGAATTAATTCAAATTGACACATTAGCGCCCCCTACAGACTATTTCAAAGTTTTAGATGGGCATTTTCAAATTTAGTTTTTTCAAAATGTTTGAAATTTTGCACATAAATCTGTTTTGCCCTCTTGATTCAAAAAGTCAATTGGGTCCAAGGCTTATTTTTTACCCTGTAGCCGTGGCGACGAGAAACGCTCCCCATTCATTGCAAATGTACACCTCACACAAACATCAAACCAGCCTCGGCCGTTTCATTGATTTGCCTCAAAATCGCTCCACATCATCTCAACACATGTACCTTCAAAATGACTTCAGGGAATTTTGATCCGTGAAACGTTGTTTGAGCAGCGGAGCGGCAAAATGTGAGGGTTTTTTTGGCTCTTTTTGACAACATTAATTTTGCTCCTGTTTGCACAAACAATGCCTGATTTGCACAAAACTTTAATCCATTGTTCAATTCCGGGGTTTAGGTCAGGTTAAAGTGAAATATTGGAAATTGGCCCATTAGCGCCCCCTACAGACTTTGTCAAAGTTTACATGGGGAGCCAAACCAGCTCTACTTATCATATTCATTACAATTTGACTAACATTCTTCTATGGCTACGGAAACAAATCATCACACGGCGGTGCCACCTCCTTTTAGCGGTGCTGCGGCGTAGTGCGGGGCGTTGTGGAGCGGCGCGTTGCGGCTTGGTGCGGGGCGGCGTGGTGCGGGACGGCGTGGTGCGGGACGGCATGGTGCAGGGCGGCATGGTGCAGGGCGGCTTGGTGCGGGGAGTGCGCGCGGTGCAGGGAGTCGCGCGGTGCGGCGAGGGCCGTTCGACGCCGCTTGCGGCTTTAATTTATTTCTTTCTTTCTTTCTTTTTTCTTCTGCACTTTGAGCCTTAATTTGACCCCCTGAACATGCATGAAAAGTTGTTAATTTTGGCCCAAAAATCAGACCTGGCAAAAAATTTGATATTTTGGTGTTTATTTTTATGGGACTCAAAAAATGACAGAACAGCGCCACCTACAACAGCCAAAATAATACCCCTATGGGACTTTTCGGAGGTCAAGTTTGTCGTATCAACATGAGATTTGGTACACATGTTCCTCAAGTCAAGACAAGAAAAAAATATAATTATGGCCCCGCCCCCTGACAAACAGGAAGCCCATAAATTTCACTGCAAAATGGAAAAATGAACAGCAAAAGTATTCATACATGTCGGTTGGAAAGCGACTCCTCCTCGGCCGTTTCACCGATTCGCCTCAAAATCGCTCCACATCATCTCAACACATGTACCTTCAAAATGACCTCAGGGATTTTTGATCAGTGAAACATTGTTTGAGCAGCGGAGCGGCAAAATGTGACCTTTTTTGGCCGTTTTTGACAACATTAAATTTGCTCCCGTTTGCACAAACAAAGTCTGATTTTCACAAAACTTTAATACATTGTTCAACTCTAGGGTCTAGGTCATTTGAAAGTTAAATGATTCAAATTGACACATTAGCGCCCCCTACAGACCATTTCAAAATTTAAAATGGGCATTTTCAAATTTAGTTTTTTCAAAATGTTTGAAATTTTGCACATACATCTGTTTTGCCCTCTTGATTCAAAAAGTCAATTGGGTCCAAGGCTTATTTTTAACCCTGTTGCCGTGGCGACGACAAACGCTCCCCATTCATTGCAAATGTACACCTCACACAAACATCAAACAAGCCTCGGCCGTTTCACCGATTCGCCTCAAAATCGCTCCACATCATCTCAACATATGTACCATCAAAATGACTTCAGGGAATTTTGATCAGTGAAACGTTGTTTGAGCAGCAGAGCGCCAAAAGTGGCGTATTTTTTTTCAGTTTTTGACAATAGATTATTTTTTTCCGTTTGCACAAACAAAGTGTGATTGGCACAAAACTTGAATCCATGGTTCAACTCTTGGGTCTAGGTCAATTGAAAGTTAAAATTTTGAAATTGGCTCTATAGCGCCACCTACAACAGCCAATTTAAAAATGCCTATGGTAGGGGTTCAAGGTCAAAATTGCCGTAGAACCATGTAATTTGGTACACATGTTCCTCAAGTCAAGACATGGAAATAATGTAATTATGGCTAAGCCCTCTGACAAACAGGAAGCTCATAAATTTCATTGCAAAATGGAAACATGAAAACCAATCATTTTCATACATGTCGCTTGGAAAGCGACTCCTCCTCGGCCGTTTCACCGATTGGCCTCAAAATTGCTCCAAATTATCTCAACACATATACCTTCAAAATGACTTCAGGGAATTTTAATCAGTGAAACGTTGTTTGAGCAGCGGAGCGGCAAAATGTGAGGTTTTTTTTGGCTCTTTTTCACAACATTAATTTTGCTCCTGTTTGCACAAACAAAGTCTGATTTGCGCAAAACTTTAATCCATTGTTCAATTCCAGGGTTTAGGTCAGGTTAAAGTGAAATATTGGAAATTGGCCCATTAGCGCCCCCTACAGACTGTGTCAAAGTTTACATGGGGAGCCAAACCAGCTCTACTTATCATATTCATTACAATTTGACTAACATTCTTCTATGGCTACGGAAACAAATCATCACACGGCGGTGCCACCTCCTTTTAGCGGTGCTGCGTGGTACGGTGTGGTGCGGCGTAGTGCGGGGCGTTGTGGAGCGGCGCGTTGCGGCTTGGTGCGGGGCGGCTTGGTGCGGGGCGGCTTGGTGCGGGGCGGCTTGGTGCGGGGCGGCTTGGTGCGGGGCGGCGTGGTGCGGGGAGTGCGCGCGGTGCAGGGAGTCGCGCGGTGCGGCGAGGGCCGTTCGACGCCGCTTGCGGCTTTAATTTGGGAATATCCCTGTTACGGATCAGGTCCTTGTTTTTTCTCTTCGCCTCCACCTCCTCAGACGCCTCCCACTGACGCCTCACCCGGCACCTGTGGGCTAATCAGCTGGGAGGTATAAAGGGCCAGGCCCTCCAGACCAGTCTCTCTTTCACCCACTTCGGCCTGGATCCTGTAGCTGCACACTCCTGGGAACCCGACGCTTTGGTAAGAATAATCAGAATCAGAATCAGAATCAGAATCATTTTTATTGCCACGTAAGTAACAGGAGGTCACAGACTAGGAAATTGCTTTGGCTCAGTGCAACAGTCAAAAAGAGATAATAAAAATAAGAATAAAAAACACTTCTAAAGAATAAATTTAAATTTAAAATAGAGTTACAGTTACTATTTACAATATACAAGTGCACATGGTGCACACAATGTAAGGTGACAGCAGTACAGTGAAGTAAAGTGACGTATGATGGGCAGTAAAGTGACTTTATAAAGGGCGGGGGGACAGGTTAAGAAGTGTTTAAGAGTCCAACAGCAGAGGGGAAGAAACTGTTCTTGTGGCGGGAGGTTCTAGTCCTGATGGACCGCAGCCTCCTGCCTGAGGGGAGTGGTTGGAATAGTCCATGTGCAGGGTGAGAGGGGTCGGCTGTGATACGACCAGCCCGGCCTCGAGCTCGGGCGACGTACAGGTCCTGCAGCGATGGAAGGCTGCGGCCGATCACTTCCTCTGCAGAGCGCACAATGCGCTGTAGTTTCTGTTTGTCCCTGACTGTGGCTACAGCGAACCACACGGTGATGGAGGAGGTGAGGATGGACTCGATGATGGCCGTGTAGAACTGCACCAACATCTGTGCAGGCAGCTTGGCTTTCCTGAGCTGCCGCAGGAAGTACATCCTCTGCTGGGCCTTCTTGATGAGGGAGCTGATGGTCGGCTCCCACTTGAGGTCCTGGGTGATGGTGGTGCCCAGGAAACGGAAGGACTCCACAGAGGTGATGGGGGAGTCCATCACGGAGGGTGGGGGCGGGGGGACAGTGCTCTTCCTGAAGTCCACAATCATCTCCACTGTCTTCTGGGCGTTCAGCTCCAGGTTGTTACCACTGCACCAGGACACCAGCCGGTCCACCTCCCTCCTGTAGGCGGACTCATCGTTGTTGGAGATGAGTCCAATGAGGGTGGTGTCGTCCGCGAACTTGATCAGCTTCACGGAGTCGTGGCTGGAGGTGCAGTGGTTGGTGTACAGGGAGAAGAGCAGGGGAGAAAGAACACAGCCCTGTGGGGCTCCTGTATTTATAATCCGAGAGTCCGAGACATTCTTCCCCAGACGCACTCGCTGCTTCCTGTCCGTCAGGAAGTCAGTGATCCACCTGCAGGTGGAATCGGGCACGTTGAGCTGGGAGAGCTTGTCCTGGAGCAGGGATGGCAGGATTGTGTTGAAGGCAGAGCTGAAGTCCACGAGCAGGACCCTGGCGTAGGTCCCCGGGGAGTCCAGGTGCTGTAGGATGTGGTGGAGGGCCAGGTTAATGGCGTCGTCTACAGATCTGTTGGCTCTGTAGGCGAACTGCAGGGGGTCCAGGAGGGGGGAGGTGAGGGACTTGAGATGGGAGAGAACCAGGCGTTCAAATGACTTCATGACTACAGACGTAAGTGCTACAGGTCTGTAGTCATTGAGTCCTGTGATCCTGGGCTTCTTCGGGACGGGGACAATGATGGAGGATTTGAAGCAGGCCGGGACATGGCAGGACTGCAGAGAGGTGTTGAAAATGTCCGTGAACACAGGAGTAAGCTCACTGGCGCAGTGTCTCAGAGTGGCCGGAGACACGTGGTCCGGGCCAGGAGCTTTGCGGGGTGCAGCCTCAGGAAGAGTTGTTTAATCTCTTTAGCGGCTATTGTTAGGCTGGGGGCAGGGCTGATGGGTGGGTCGTTAGAGTAGTGGGGGGTGGGGGAGGGAGAGGTGTCAGGGGCAGCATCAAAGCGACTGAAAAATAAGTTCAGATCGTCAGCTAGCTTGTGGTCGTCAGCACAGGGGGGGGGCTTTGGGTTTGTAGTTGGTGATCTCCCGTAGGCCCCTCCAGACAGAAGCAGTATCGTTGTTACCAAACTGCTCCTGTAGTCGTTCTCTGTGCCGGGACTTGGCTGCTTTCAGTTCTCTCCTGAACTGATATTTAGCTGCTTTGTAGCCGCTGCGGTCCCCCTCCCTGAAAGCAGACTCCTTTGCTTTCCTGAGCTGCCGGAGTTTAGCAGTGAACCAGGGTTTGTCGTTGTTATAGATGACCCTGGTCCTTGTTGGAATGATGCTATCCTCACAGAAGTGAATGTATGACGTCACAGTGTCCGTATATTCATCCAAACTATCTGTGGCAGCTCTGAAAAGGTCCCAGTCTGTAGATTCCATGCATGCGCGCAGCTCTTCCACAGCTTCATCAGACCACACTTTGGAGCTCCTCACTGCAGGTTTCGAGAGCTTTAGTCTCTGTCTGTAAGCAGGAACCAGATGTATCATGGAGTGATCTGAGAAGCCAAGGGCTGGCTTGGGAACAGCGCGAAAAGCTCCGCGCACGGTGGTGTAACAGTGATCCAGAGTGTTCTCCTCTCTGGTCGGGTAATTCCTGGCTCAAGTTTCCCTTATTAAAATCCCCCAGGATAATAATCAGAGAGTCCGGGTATAAACGCTCCATACACAGTACTTGCTCTGCGAGTGCGCGCTGAGCCTCGCGCGCGTCCGCGCATGGCGGTATGTAAACAGAGGCAAGAATGAATGAAACAATTTCGCGCGGGGAGTAATATGGTTTACAATGAATGAAAAGATATTCCAGAGCAGGAGAGCAGTGCTTGGAGATCACTGTCACATCGTTACACCAGTTTGTATTGACGTAGAAACACAGCCCTCCGCCTCTGCTCTTCCCTGAGAGCGCACAATGGCGATCCGCGCGGAACAGCCCAAAGCCCTGCAGCTCCAGAGCGCAGTCCGGGATCCGCTCATTTAGCCAGGTCTCAGTGAAGCAGAGGACACAGGATGTGGCGAAGTCCTTGTTTCTTCTCATGAGCAGGCTGAGTTCGTCCATCTTATTGCCCAGTGAGCGTACGTTGGAGAGAAAAATGCCGGGGAGAGCCGTGCGCGCTCCTCTCCTAAGACGCACGAGCAGGCCTCCGCGCTTTCCCCTTTTACGGGCCCACACTTTTTTGGCTAGAACATGAACTAAATCAGCCGCAGATGCCAAGAAAACAGGCAATAGGTCCATGGGAACGGTGGGTCGGATGTTCATAAGTTCCTCACGGGTGTAGGAACAGCCAGATGCGCAGTTAAAAAGTAAAAACAAAAGAAAAAGAGAGCAGCAAAGAGCCATGTCGACCGTACGAGGCGCCATCTTTGTAAAAAAGAATAAGGCTTTTTTGTTGAACATTTAACTTTATGTAAATACACTTTTTAGACCTCTGTTCCACGCCCGTTTCATTTGTGTTACTGAGCCACACTCTCTAGACCCCAACACCTTTCATTCATTCATTTACATCCTTTTATTATCCATATCTGGGTCAGGGGGGTGGCAATCAGAACTACACCCAATTCACAAAGCACCAGTCCCTCTGAACCTCCTGCAGGCTCCTTCAATGCAGATACGACGTTGATCTTTCAGCGGGGACTTCAGGCAAAGTGGGGTTAAGTGTCTTGCCCAGGGACACAACAACAGCAGACGTCAGTGGCAGCAGATGACATGGGTTGTTGGGGGGATCGAACACACAACCATTAGGTCCAAAGACCAATGCTCAACCATCTGAGCCACTGCCGCCCCCAACACCTAGTGGCTCGTAATAATCCCCAACACATGCTAATTAGACGCACTAACTCAAAGAATTTTCTCACAATACCAAGATAAAACATGTTAAATAATCTGAAAAAAAAAATGAAATAAAACCCATACAACCACACGCACATATAAGTGTCCAACTATGAATTAACAAAGTCCTCCATCAGTAAGAAAAGCTTGAACTCTTAAAGCCTTGGGAGAGCGAACGGTTCGCAAAGTCTCACCAAGGCCTGTTTGTGCGGTGCTTACAAAACAAGCTGCACAGCCTTCGGAGCGACGCAATAGGAAAAAAGTGACATTGGGGATTAATAAAAGACCCGGACTGAAGGGGACATAAATTGTGTAGCAAAGAGAAACAACAAGTGCAGCAGAACTTGGCTCAAATGGATGTCTTTGAGGGGACGGGGGATGGATGTTGGAAAAGTCTCTGCATAGAACGGCTCATAAACATAAAGGATCGGACTCACTCTTTAAGGTGTTCTGTGGAATTTTTACAGTTGCTCCAAATGAAAACAAAAAAGAAGTGACCCTTTTAAGAATATTCACCTCCACCATGTTTTTGATTTGTTGTCATAGGCTTGGAATTCGACTTATAAATGTCTGTGAGAGCTGGAGGACTCTCTGTGTCGATCGGCCATCTTGAAATAAAGTGGTTGATAAGGGACAAAAAGGAGTTTGACCAGGAGTTGGGGACCGCTCTCAAAGACGACATAATTGTCTTGCGAAACTACCGTAGAACCGTAAATTACAACAAATGATTTCAATGCTAGACGGGAGTTAAAACTACGCAGAGTGCCTTTAAATGTTTCGCCGTTGAGACGATCCAGTGCATAATACAGCGTGGGGGTGGTGGCCATATTCCCCAATCTTCTCAACATAGGGCTTTCCTTTGTCAAGATAACGACATTTGCTCACAGCTCATTAAATTTACCCCAACCCACTTGCAATTGTTTCCTGTGAAAAATGGCTGGGATTCTCCGGATTACAGAATTACTGCCGAGCAAGGCATAGCAGCTAGTTAGAGATGAGGACAGAGGAAAGAATAAACTTGTGACAGGGAGGTTATTGCATTCAGAGAAGCATATTTTCACTGTTTTGCACATCAAAACGAGATAAATGCGAGGCTTATGGATGGGTAGAAGAATGGGTGGAGAGGTGATAATACAATACCTTGAAACAAATGATGAAAGAAAGAGATTATCAAGGGGACAAACAATTGCGTGATTAAAAAAGAAGTAAAAGATCCTTCAATGGCGGGTGCTGAGGGCCACTTAGCTTATCAAGGCTGATCTGCAAAGAGGCTGTCGGCGGAATTCAAATGAGTTGCACTCAGAGGAACGGGCAAAATAAAACAGAAGAAAAAAAACGCTGAATGGGAAAGAGCAGAGCCGAGAGTGAGCGAGCATATTTTAACACGCAAACACCAGATGATCACATTCAAGGCAGGGCTATCCGCAGAACAAGATTCATCCAAAATCAGAGAAAAAATCTTGAAAGAAAATGGGAAAAAAGTTTGTTAATTTCAGACATTTGCACTAGAGAATGGCATTTCCTCCCTTTTTGTTACACATATTCTAAGCTAGTTAAAATATATGTAGTTAATGTATGTGTGGAAAAGGCCAACGACAGCATCAAAATCCAAGTAACAAGAATAAAGCCTTTGTCAAAGTTTGAGCTTCCCCTGAAAAGATTGCCCAATTGTTAAAATGTGGGTGATAAACTTGCCACTATCCACGGTATAGGTTTCTAGGTCTATGGCTGCACTGCGCTGAGACTTTTCAAGACTGATATTGGAAGTCAGAGGTTTGTTTTGATCGAGAACATTTCATTGTGTCACTGTCTTCGCAGCGGTGAAAAGCAGCCAACACGGGTCTAAACAAGACACCTTCCTGTTCCACAGTTCTCCCGGTTGGATGCAAAAAACATGCATCAGCCGTCTGTCAAGGCCTACAAAAATCATATTCAGATACTTCTAAGGCCTAGCGTAGATCGACAAAATAACTGGAGACGACTCGTTTCAAGGCGGCTTTTGGCGACTGAGAGTAGATGGTGGAGATGATCAGTTGCCGAAATTGGTCGATGTGAGCGCTCTTACAACTGGAGATAAACAGTCGAGCTCCGGATTCAGTCAGTTGCCTGCGTTCTACTTTTCGGCAACTAGTTGTCCTCAGATCCGGAGATATCACCCGATGTGCTCCAACAACATGTGTGTATTGTGTGTGTTGCGCCCTCTACAGTTTATGTCAGAAAACAC